CATGGCGGAAAGGTAATATTCAAGCCAACAACATACCATATCAATTCTGTTATGAATATTACATGGCTGGAGGACGTCGACATTGACCTTGGAGGAACACTGCTAGTATGTTTTCCTAGTTCTTATTCATTCATACTTGCATAGACTTACGCCGCATTTCTTAGTGGAGCACGGATATCCAATACTGGTTAAATCACTCTTTGTCAGTCGGATATCAGAATCAATCCACTGCTTTCATTCTCGGCGGCAATAATGTTCGGATCGACGGTCATGGTATAGGCACTCTCGATGGCAATGGGGACACCTGGTATCAATGGATAAGAGAGCAGCCCAATACCTCTAACTATCCTGGCCGACCACACGCCGTAACTTTCAACAGTCTCACAAATTCCGTGGTCCGAGGCCTTAAATTCCTACGTAGCCAGATGTGGTACGGCAGCCTTCAGTTACCTTCCCGAATTATTTAACTAACGCCCTTGCAGGACGATGTCTATTATATATAGTCATCACGTTGAATTCGACAATATACTCGTAAACAACACCGGAAATATTGTCTCCAGCTGTGAGTGTCTTATTTTAGACCCAGCAAAAACATCACTTCGCTAACCAAAACTAGCAAACACGGATGGAGCAGACACTATCCGATCCTCACATATCCAGTTCAACAACTGGACTGTGTACAATGGTGATGATAGTATCTCACTTAAGGGCAACAGTACAGACATCACTATCACAAACTCCAATTTCTACAATGGACTAGGAATTGCGTTGGGTAGCATTGGTCAGTACAAAGATCAGTTTGAGACTATTGAGAGGCTCAACGTGAGCAATATAAATTACCACAACACCCTTCATGCGGTAGGTAAACTACAAGGTGCATATTGATTCCTTCTACTGACACGCGTTTGTGATGAATAGATGTATGTGAAAACATGGACAGCTGATCAAAATGGTTATCCACCTAATGGTGGCGGAGGTGGCCTCGGATGTAAGTTTGCGCTGAAAGACAACTCTTGCCCACAATATATACTCTTGTGACAAAAAGCTAACTACGCTAATTATGTAGATATCTCCGACATGTCGTTCAGAGACCTCAAAACTACCTCTCTTCGTGGGGCTGCGGTTGCAATCTCGCAGTGTACTCGATTCAGTGGCGCCCCTGGGGAAGGCAACTGCACCAACTCGGAGTTCCAGATTCGTGGTATCTCAGTTTCCAATTTTAGTGGTACAACAAAATCCACTCGAGTCGCAAGTTTCCAGTGCAGTGCAGTTGCGCCATGTACTGACATTGCGCTCTATGGTATAAACCTGGTACTGGCAAATGGAACGGCGGCTTCAGATTATCTATGTGGAAATGTGAAAGATCCCAAGGGGTTTGAATGTACAGGTCCGGTGTGTGAAGGGGGGAGTGCAACAGGAGAGTGTTGAAGCTGAATTATATTACAACAAGAAGCATAGCCAGTACTCCAAGTCTAAGGATGAAGGATAAGATGTTCGTACAGCCATGAATTTCAACAGGATACAGAATGGAATAATTTTAAAAAAGAGCATCTATAGGCGCTCGTTATCGTATCGCTTGTTATCTACCCATCTTCGATATAATTATAATATCACGTTAGACGATATCAGAGCATCGCGCAAGTTTGGGAATCGACTCTGCTATACTCCAGGCCTTTGGCAGCGATTTACTACCGTTTACAATACTATTTCTCAAATCAGGTCTAACATTGCATTCAAACCAACTAATTTTCATACTAGAAAGTACACTATATCATCTTGACTCAACCTGGAAAACCTTATAAAATAATAATAATTCTTCCAGTCTCTGGTCTCATGGTATTACATAGTTAACTTCGACTCTCAGAGTCCAAAAGGCACTGATGCACAGAGCGCGGAAATGCCACCGTTTCGTATTTAAAGCTACGCACAACCATTGTGTCGGCCGTAGGCTCACTTTATTTTCTTAACACATAGTGGTCTTTTCTAGAAATTGATATATATAACTTATACCCCTTAGATATATAGAAAGACCTCTTATTCTCTTATGTAATGCTGAGGTTAACATATAAACCATATAGTACATATGTTTAGAGGGCTCATGCAGCCTTTTGATGGAAAGTGCGAAATATGGAATATGACCCTAGGCTACCCACCGACTACTCCGCGCACGCACCCCTCAACTAACCCTGATCAGCGAATCCGCGGACGGACAAAAGTCTTGCCATTTTCTCTAGGGATCCTCCAGCGGAAGGAATTAAGTGGATGGCGTGTTCATTACAACATTGAGGCAATGTTACTGGTACCATCTCCGCATCGCAATGATCGACTATCGTTGACCCTTTGAATCCTCTAGGAGTTCAGTGTTTCACCTCGCCAGCTAGCGTGCTAAACCTCCGCCCCCGTGGTTTTCACTATACAACCATTGGCCAGTAATCAATAAGCTCCATGTCTCGTGCTAATATAGCTCATATGTATAGCACTTTTCCCACATGGTTTGTCTAATATACTAATGATCTAAGGAAACCGTTGATCTTAGTAGGCTCATTCCTTCTATATCTATGACGCCATTAGTACCACTCTCATGCAGCTAGATCTTGACCTGATAAAAATTGTCAACTGGATCTAATTATGCAGACTGAGACTTGTCTCACTCTTATACAGCTCTTAGGGCTCACCCTGCATGCCCAGCTTTTTATTGATCACCAAGTATCTCTGCTAAATGGCGCTAAAGTAACAGTGACTCCTCCTTATCATGTCTCTACCCTATTCATCCCACCTAAAAAGCACTGCCATGCATAACGCCATAAAGGGTCATTTGGAAAGACAGGTAGGATGCAGAGTTGCTCAGATTGGTTATGCTGTTTCGTAGATCAGTATTAGTATTTGAGGATTGCTAGACTTGTTCACCCTGATACCTAGTTCTTGGAACGTGTGAATCCTTCACGAGTATTCACGGCTTGGGAATCAGCCTATGCTCCATGGCTCAACTCAATTCCTGAATTGACAAGGCATTCAGGACCTTATTCCCCTTAGTGTAGTCAGCAGGGTATCCAACCACTCTGGAGTAAATAGTAGACTAGATAAATAGGAGAGATGCACCCAGCATGGTTCAAGGTGGCAGAAATTTTCCCCCTCTGGTGTTGATACTGGCAGCATTTCTCGGGGAAACATGGAGCCACATATTAATACTCACTCTCAGCTGATCAAACATCTTCGGGCACAGCCCATGTATATTCCGAACCTGCTACCCATTTTCTCATCTTGGCCCGGGGCTGTTAATCCTCACTGGAGGGCTTTGGTTCCTGTAATTAATGCGAGGATTGATAGGTATGGTGCTCGATCCCACTGGTCATTACATACTCTTTGATGCTTTTCAATACTACATCAGGTATCTCTACATTATTTTATAGACAAGTACTTTTATATTTCACTCATACCTCTCAGAAGGCTCAGCGCTAATAGTCAAAAGTCTATTCCCAGAGCCGGTGAAGGCTACAAAGCTCAAGAGGTGCGACTTTGCTCACCTTGCCGCGACCCGTTGGCCCCTGGCTGGCTTCAATGAACTATACATTCTCGCCTTCTTGTCCCTATGGCTCGTCACTTGGGATGACCAGATTGATGACACAAAAGGTCCCCTGAGCAACGACTTTGAAGCTGCTGAGCAGTATCGTCGTGAAACCCTTTACTTTGTGGCTCAGTGCCTTGACTTGGATCTCCCTGAAGATCCTCGTAGTTACAATAACTCTATTCTTGTACCAGATGACCCTATTGTTCAAAGTTTTGATGTGATTGGTGAAGCGCTTCGTGATGCATATAATTATGGTTCGTTGCTATTTTTGCCGTTTCGTATTATTCTTCTGTCTATTCCCTGAATTTGAAGTGACTCTAACTGTATATGGTCCTCAGAGCAACGAGGCAGGTTTCTAAAGGAGATAACCTTTTTCATGGTAACATCGCAGATGGAGCAGAAAGCAAAACTCGAAGAGCAGATTCCCAGTCTTGAGGAATACTGGGCGGTACGAATGGGCACCAGCGCAGTGGGTGTAATTTGTGCTGTTAACGAGTGAGTCTATATTATTGCTTTGATTTCATGGCTAACTCAGTAGCTGCCTCAATAAAGGTATAGTCTTCGGTCAATGATACCCCGTGCTGTCATGGAAGATCATGATATGAGAACCATGTGGAATGAGGTGAACATTATTGCTTCAATGTAAGCCACCTTCTCGCCCAAGATGAATTTCTCTAAGCAACCAGTGTATTAGGATGCACGATATAATACTAACATTTGCTTCCCTATGAAAGAGTCAACGATATTTACTCCTTGAAGAAAGAGATTGTACGCCTCATGATTGATCAACTTATTTGTGGACCAGCTCTAATAATATATATAGGCTCAAGATACCATTTATAGCCTTATCCCCATCCTCTGCGGGGTTCTAGGGAGTCCGCAAGCGGCTATAGACAACGCAATTCTGTTGCTCATCCAGTCTATGGATCGGTTCAATGTAGCGGCTAACCGACTGGTGGAAGGTATCGAGGAGGAGGATAGGTTCTCACTCTCCCTTGGAGTCAAGACAGATGTGGAGGATTTCATCCGTAGTTGCCAGTTCAACTGTACGGGCTGCTTATATTGGACGTAAGTGACAACCCTATTTTCTACAACACGATCAGCTAATCTGACCTTAATCGCCTCAGTCTTCGTACAAATAGGTATGGTGTCCGGTTGGCTCCGCGGAGCTCCGACGGTGGCGTTATTTTGCATTTATGAGAATGATTAGCTGTACTGGATGTTTGAATACAGCAGGAACTTATAGGTGAAATGCATTATTTTCTGAGGATTTGTAAAAAAACAGGGTACCATTCGCCATCTATTGACTACTATATTAGAAGAGAGCATCTGCGACCGTCTCTTGATCTAATAAGGGCTATTTACCTAGTGATCGTGACTAAACTAATTTTTTTAAAAAAAAACCATTAAAAAGATTTATAGCCAAAAACAAAGGTCCTAGCCGGATTCGAACCGGCGTTACCGGAAGATTTGATCTTCCTATAGATATACAGAAATATATACCTATATTGTTCATCAAAATCCGGTGGGATAACCACTACCCCATAGGACCATTGGATGGCGAGATTTCGACAGTAGGTCATTTTTTAAAAAAATTATAAGTCCCATATTCGTCTATCCTTGCTATCCTAATGCTTAGTAGATCATATCTCTCTTCCGAGTCAAAAAAGATGAGGGGCTGAGTCCTTGATTTTGAAAGCGGATGAAAAAGGGTTTGAATTGATTAAGTGACAATCTGGTGATGTCATCATACAGAGAGAGCTTCCACGTCTGCTCCACGGCTGTGCCTTACTTAGGATCCAATGAATGATACGCACAAGGTTACCCCTCCTATAATACAGCATTTTGCGTTGTCTGAGAGTATCTAAACCTTGAAGACATTTCATAACTGTATAAGTGGTATAGGACAGAATAGCTCGACCGGTAGCTGTCGAACTGGAAAAGAAAAGACCAACCGAAGCTTCGGGGTCAAAGAAAAACTTGCTAGCAAAAAAGAATGGATGAGAACATTGCGGCAGGCGGTCTCGTGACGCACCGGTAATACCAATACGAAGCCCTATACTTCAGGTGAAATCATGTTGCAAAAACCCCACCAACGCGGGCAAAGAGACCAAGAAAAAGACCCCGCTGACGCCTCGTAATGTGTACGGCAACGTAAGGAAAGGAAGGACTCCTCTTACTAGTAAATACTTTGACTCCATCTGAGTTCTTCAGCTCCATTCCAGTCCAATTTTCCTTCTCTCCCAACGTCCGCTAGATTAGTGCCTCTTTGATCGTTATCGACTCCTGGCACCACAGCGAGGATCATTTATACTACACACAATGGCTGACACTCAGGCTCAGACCCAGGCCCCCGAGGTTGGTAAGTGTTCACTCTTGAGTACCCCTCCTCTTTCTGCCGCTTGAAAAAGGCTCCGTCGATTTGTGGGTTTCTTTCCCGCTTGCTTCATCGTCATGGCGCGGGTTCGGCTGGCGGCACGTTTAGCAGCTGGGAAGCTGTAGAGGAACACGGGAACTCAAAGGATAACTTATTCCTCTATCCACGGGCGCTTATAATGCTATTTTAATGTACCCTCCGGAGCGCTGTGTCATAACTAATCAAACCTCGAACCAATCTCAGACTACACCCTCAACAACCCCGATACCTTGACCAAGTACAAGACTGCTGCCACTATCTCGCACAAGGTCCTCGACGCCGTCTCAGGTGCGTAGTTTCTGGGTTTACGTACTGTCGCGAGCCCTCCCTTCTCGGGGCCTGCATTCATATTCTAATCCGCTTCTTTAGCTCTGTGTGTGGAGGGAGCCAAGATCGTTGAGATCTGCCAGAAGGGTGACGAGCTTCTCGAGGAGGAAATCGCTAAGGTCTACAAGGGCAAGAAGATCACGAAGGGTGCGTTACTATCTAGTCCATATTATTGCTAGCTAAAAGCTCCATGCGCATGACATTGACAAGCCGTTCCGGGACAAAGGTGTCGGTCACCCCACAACTGTCTCTCCCAGCTCCCATGTGACCCCATACACTCCGTTGGTTTCCGACGCCCAGGAGGCCGAGACTACACTGAAGGCCGGTGAAATCGCCAAGATCCAGCTCGGTGCTCAGATCGATGGCTTCGGAACCATTGTTTGCGACCAGGTTGTTGTCGGTCAGGACGAAGTGACTGGCCGTGAGGCTGACCTCATTACCGCGACCCACTACGCTAACGAGCTCCTGCTTCGCCTCATGGTGCCCCCCGGCCTTCTGGCTAGCGGTACTGAAGAGGAGAAGAAGAAGGCTGCCGCTGAGAGACCTCCCACTCAGGCCCAGATCTCTCAACTGATCGAGAAGGTTGCTAAGGCCTACGACTGCAACGTGGTTGAGAACACCACCAGCTGGCTCTTCGAGCGCAACGAGATTGAGGCTGAGAAGAAGATCATTCTCTCCCCCGGCACTGGTGTGAAGGGCGAGGGTGTCCCCGACGTTGGCGAGGTTTGGGGTGTTGAAATCGGTCTCTCCCTTGGCTCCGGAAAGGTCAAGACTCTTCCCCTCCGTTCTACCCTGCACCGCCGTACCACTACCACCTACGGCCTCAAGCGTCCCAGCTCGAGACAGACTCTCTCTGAGATCGTCAAGAAGTTCGGACAGTTCCCCTTCAGCTTGCGCCAGCTGGATGATGAGAAGTCCGCTAAGGTCGGTGTCGTTGAGTGTGTCCGTGGTGGTGTCCTGAGACAGTACGAGCCTGCCGGTGATTCTGACAACGCCCCTGTCTCCCGCCTCTTGACTACTATTGGTACGTTCATCTGTTCTCTGGCATCAGAGAAATCTCCTGGGCCTTTCCTCCTGTAGCCCTGCTTTCTTTTGACTGACCGATATGCAGCTATCACCAAGAATGGTATCACCAAGCTCACTGCTCCCGCTACACCTGACTTCACCAAGGTCAAGTCTGACAAGAAGATCGAGGATGAGGAAATCCTCAAGATCCTTGAGCGTCCTCTGTCCAAGTCGACTGGCTCCAAGAAGAACAAGAACAACAAGAAGAAGGCCGCCAAGAAGGCCGACTCTGGTGACAAGGAGTAAATAAGTCATTTGACTCGGTCAACTTTGGCATATCTAGTGAATCGTTGGATAGGCAGATGGAATTGCTCCAGGCCATGGTCGGAGCCCCTTTTCTGAGTGCTCCAGGAGGTTGATCAATCATGTCGATCAAATCCCTTTGTCCACGCTGGAGAGAGGCGAATTTGTTCCGCGAGCATATGGAGCGAGAGGCATAGGAGGATAGGAGAAGCCATATAAGATTTCCTGTCTTTTACCACGGTGCCCTCTTGAAAACCCTTGGCACGTAATTAGTTGAAAAACGCGAAAGTTATGTATGAGGTGAATATAAAAGAGAATTATGAATTTCTGCTTACGGCTCTACTGAGCTCGATGTCGGCATAGTCTGTGTTTTGTCTTTCCTGTAGCCCGGATAGTCTCGAGGTTACTATTGTGACGGTGTCAGCCTGGAGGACCAGCTCTACTAACTGCAGGCTATTTAATCCATGTTGTCGCTCAGTGATATCGCACACACAGCCTGGGATTCTGCGACAACCAACATATCAGCCTCATAGCCGTGTCCTGCTGACGCCGTCGTGGTCCGCTCTTTCTTACATCGGAAAAGGGCAAGGGAGCAAGAAGTTTCGTTTACCAATACTTGGACTGCCATTTCTTCTCGTCCTAGTTTCTACAATGATACGTCGTTGAGCTTTGGATACAATCGTGGAACGCAATCGGTTTCGGCGATAACCACATTTTCTTTATCGTCGCCCGGGTAAAGCACTACTTTCTTCTTTCCATTATTTGCTACCTCTAACATTTTATTTGACAGCGCTTGAAATGAGCAGGTAAATAATCCATTTCCGAAGAGTGTAGCAGACAGATAGGGCAGCTACCTGGCGTGTCCTTGACCAGGCAGATTAATGAGGCTTCAGGGCTGGGATTAAATTGGACTTATTTTCTCTTGTCTTGTCAGATGAATATGCATCCCCATCTTTGAGAAGTGTTGGGCTTGAGTTGACTGTGGTGCATTATGGTGGTGGTCATTTGGCGCTGTCATTTGGTGTGGGCCAAAAAAAGCAGGGCTGGTGTTCCGTTTCCAATCCTGATTCCTTTTCCAATCTTCCATCAATCTCACCCTATTCAGTCCCTTTGTCCATATCTTTCTCGACCCCTCGCAGTTGGAGATTTCGTGTTTCCAGGCTGGAACTCGCATCTTTGTGCATGTAGAGAAATCCGGAACCCATTATTTGTGGTTCTCGGTCTGCAGTGTTGCTCGTTTCCCTTGCTATTGGCTCACCTCAGACAGTTTCATCCTCTAAATATCACGCTCACTACAAATATCCTCTTCATTTGTCCCAGCTCCTGCTTTCAGGTACCTGAGCTAAAGTGATTCCTGGGTAGTGTATGCTTTGTTGTATCCGTGGGGTAGGCTGGCATCTATCCACCTGTGCATGAAGGCCAACCCCTCCTATCGGTCATCTGTCTGCTTGACACTTGAAGCAACACATAATCCTCACACATCGCGTCCATCGCATTCAAGTGGCAGGCATATTTGCGTCCCTTTCAGGTTCCTCTGTGAATTTGATTGTCCTCTTTGTCAGCCTGAGTTGCCTTCTGTTCCTTCTCCTTCTGGATTCCCATCTCTCTTCTATCATCCAAGGTCTGCTTGCACACCGTGCTACTTCCATCTCACGTCTCTCTTCCCCTCTCAAGGAAAGAGAACGAGCTCAGCTCTTGTCAAACAGCTGATCCCTGCGTCTTCCACTTTGACACTCAACCGACCCTGCTAGGCGTTCTCTTTCCAGGCGCAGTCTGCTCTGGGTATCGGGGTATCTACGCAACAAGTGCAAAGACCATACGTCGCCTTCCTTTGCACTTTGCCAGAATTTCCCTCAAAGGTTTCTGGCATTCTTGTGAGTTCTTTTCTATCTCTACATGCCTGCCGGCGTCTATCCCTTCGTCCGTCCACTGCCAGGAGACCACTGCGTTCTTGCGGATTCATTAAGTTCTCAGCGATGAGTCTTGATGGCATTTGCCGTTGAAAGCTCTAGCTTATACATTTCCCTTGCTCGTTGTCGTTATTATGCATATGACTGATGCTCGCATCTGACAATACATACCCCTTTTCAATGCATCATCTATTAACCTATCCAAGACAAAGAACACGTTGTTTTCCTAAGCAACACGGCTTCCCATAACAAGGGCTTCCGGAGTCCTCAGTACCTTTTTATAGGTTACTAAAGGCAACCCCTCATTTTAATAATTAGGTCTCAGTGGATCTATTGTCTCCCTATATCCACGATCCCTGCGGCGAGTCAAAACAACCATCTGGTAAGAAACCCTCACTTTAGGTGTTGTAAGAAAATTAAGTGATTAAATCACAAACTGAGTTGTGGCTACTCAATTCTGACTGGAAGCCTGCTAGTTTAAGCGCGCAAATTTTTTGTGGTTGTTAGCAGCCTCCGCGGCGTACCCCCTACGAGGCGTGATTTGGAACTCGTCCTCGAAAACTCCCGCTTCCAACTCCGCAATCTTCCTCC